CACTGCACCTAGAACTTCCTCAGACATGTTTATAGATGAAATGATGGTGCATCATTTGAGTATCTACAAAGTTCCAAATATAGAAATCATATCAATTATTTTCTAGACCATAATGCCAGGAAGGTATAAAATTAATCATAAAGAGAACACTGGGAGAAGTGCCAGTATTTGGAAACTGAACAATATACCACAAAATAAAAACTGGATTAAAGAGAAAATCAAAGGAAAAAACATTGCTTAAAATGAAGGACAATGAAGACACAAACTACCAGAACCTGTGGAACACAGCAAAAGTTTCACAGTAATATAGGCTTATACCAGAAAACAGAAAAGCTCAAATTAAAAACAAAAAACAAAAACAAAACACAACCTAACTCCATATCTTGATAAAGTAGAAAAAGAAAAGTAACAGAATGACAAAGCAAGTAGGAAGAAGAAAATTTTAAAATGACTACAATGAAATCTTGAGGAAAGAAGCAGTTCTCATTGAGGTTTGCTTGCTCTCCATTCTTAAAAATTTTGATTTTGATATTGTTTTCTCTTTGCATTTTTAAAAATTATTTTCTCTGTGAATCATCTTTTATCTTTTTCTTTTTCCTATTGAAACCATATTTTCCCATATTGGGAACTCTATATCTACCTCACGTTTTTTCCCTTCTAAGAAAACTGAAAAATTTTTACTTAAATCTGAATTGCTCAAATCTTCAACTTCTATTCTTTAAAAAATATTTTTATTTTTGTAGTTAAGGTAACTCCATGTTTATAACAGTGCTATTACTTATGGTCTGTATGTAAAGTTCCAGTGCCTCACCAGCACCAAAGTGCTCAATAACCCCCAACAATGTCTTTGTGCTATTTAGTCCACCTCTTCATTCTCCCCAAACTTCTATTCTATAAGCAACTCTGCTATTGAGATTTAGGTGCCAAATAATAATTATCTAAAACTATTTGTATTAACCAGTGTACACTAAAATTACGATAGCACAGCACTAGAGTGTTTGCCTTGCATTCCGCTGACCCGGGTTCGATTCCTCCCTCTCTCAGAGAGCCTGACAAGCTACCGAGAGTATCTCGCCTGCATGGCAAAGCCTGGCAAGCTACCCATGACGTATTCTATATGCCAAACACAGTAAAAAACACAGTAACAATAAGCCTCACAATGGAGATGTTACTGGACCCGCTCAAGCAAATTGATGAGCAACAGGATGTAGTGCTGTGTGCTACTCTAAAATTAGTTAAATTTTAAAATCCTTTATTAAACATCTAGAGATACCAAATTTTAGCTGGGTCAAGGTAAACAGAATCCTTATACTTATTATATGGATACACAAAAGTATAAAGTTGTCTTTTTCCTTTATAAAAGGAAAAGGTAGTGTTTTTTTAAAAAAAAAAAATCTCAGTGCTTCACTGAGAAAAGCACAATCCCATAATAATCTGGTTACTCTGAATTACATAAACAAGACTTCATATTTATAAATCCCTTAGAGGAACTCAAGGATCTCTAGTTAAGTAAAGTCAGTCTGAAAGACAAGGACAGATTGCTCATATTTTCCTGTGGCATACCAAATAGCAGATCCAAGAAATGGAAGATATCAAAGGTGGGTGAAACATTGGGTCTAAATCCCAGAAACAAAAGTTCCAAGGAAGGAGAGAAACGGGGGTGGGTGGGGAGTGCATAGGGCAAGGGTCAGGGATGTAGGGTCATGAGTAGCAAAGAGGCAAGGTGTGTTTGCATATATAGAAACCACTACACCGAACACCACTAGAAGCATGGGTCCAAGATTGCAGTAATCACAATGACATGGGATCTGCAAAGGAGTCAGTGTTAGAGGTGTGAACAAAACTGGGGTCCTGGTGGAGGGATGGGTTCTCAGGCTGGTGGGATTGGAGGTGGGAACACTGTAGCCCCAAACCCTCTTGTAGATAACTCTGAAAGTCACAATGCCTAAATAAAAACTTAAAAATAATGAGAGTCCTATGTGGGTGAGGAAATGCTATAAAAAGAGCAGTGAAGGCTCTTGGGCATTTTGGAGGTGATAAATGTGCAGTTGCTTTGTACATAAAACTGTAACAATCAACACTGTTGTGACATGTTACTTCAAGTACAATTAAAAATGTCCAATCTATATTATACATTTAAACTTTTGCTGACGTTAAATGTATATTAAAGTCAAAGGAGATCTGAAATATGCTAGGTCTCTAGGATTGAGCCCTTAGTATCAATAATATATGCACAATAATTTACATCATGATAAAGCCATGCTCTACTGGACTCTGACTACAATGATTCTAAATAAGAAAAATCATTTTCATTAAGGAATAACATTTATTTCTATGGCACCCAAATTTTTCTTTTATTCAGGAATAACACATCTATTTCTATGGCATCCAAATTTTCCTTTGCATCTTTGTTTTAGTAATCAATTTATTGTCAGACACAAATTATATAAAAGTCTTTTATTTGTTATAGTAATATAAAAATTATCTTCCTTGGTAAAATAAAGGAGCAGAATTCTTTCATTGTTTTCATCCAGTTGACCTTTTCACTTATAGTAATAAATTAAGTATATAGATTTAAAAAATTAAACTATATTTAAAACATACATAATTCTTAAAGAGATACACATACTCATATACACACTCAAACAAATTCAAATCTGCATAAAAACGTTAATCTTGCAATAGAAAAATTGTACATTATTTTCTAAAAAATTAAATTCTCATAATGAACAACACTGGCCTCTGCTGGTATTGCAGGTTTTGAATTTTACCTTCTAGGTTGCTATAGCTGCTGCTCTTACGCAGGGGACTTACCACTCATTTGGGATTGTTGTTGTTTATTACTGAGGACAACTGAACTGAAATATTATGAGAACTTCAAAGATGAAAATTCCCGGATTTATCTATGGACTTAAACAGACTAAACAACTAACTCTGGAGCTTGACATTTCTTCTGATCAAATTAATGGAACATCTTGTTTTAATACAATTAAAAATGATCATTTCTTTCAATAAAGAGGAGTTAAAAGCTAAGAACTAAGGGAATAAATTTTGACTTTTTAAAAAGAGTAATAGGTACAGAATACTACATAAATATATATATTTCTTGAAAGATTATTTGATTTATTTCCCAGTAAATTTAGTCTGTTTTATAAAATGCAATTAAAATTACTTGAATATATGGAAATTTAACCTGGGTCCTCACTTAAACCATAAATTTTCTACCCCCAAAATACTGTGCATTCAAGTGAAAGTAACAACCCATAATTTCATGCAAGATTTGTTGCTTAATAATTATGAATATAAAATAAAATATTTGTATTATAATAATGCAGAAATTATTTTCTTACTTTTAGCAAATTTATAATTACTTTGGTAATTACATGTGAAAGACTATGAACTACAAGGTAACACAGGTTTCCTAGTTGACTGTCAAGGTAACACAGGTTTTTGATTTGACCGACAAACTAGCAAATTGTCTCAATAAGGCAAGCTTCATGGCATCGTCTCTGTGGATCTTACTATACCAGTGGAAACAATTCCTGGAGCGCTGGGACCATTATTCTTAATGACAACTGGTGTCAATATTAATCAAAATCTATAGAACTTTGCTGCTACAGGTCATCACCACAGAACCTGGAACATAATTATGAACATAAAAAATTGAGGATGACAAAGCCTAAAATATTTGCCAATGGGGAGCTGGAGACATAGTATAGCAGTTATTATGGGAGGTGGGAACACTGTAGCCCCAAACCCTCTTGTAGATAACTCTGAAAGTCACAATGCCTAAATAAAAACTTAAAAATAATGAGAGTCCTATGTGGGTGAGGAAGTGCTATAAAAAGAGCAGTGAAGGCTCTTGGGCAGTACCTTGGGAAGGTATTTGCCTTGCATGTGACCACGGTCAGTTTGATCCCTGGCATCCCCATACTGTTTTTTAGCACTCAAACCAAGCCAAAGCAAACCAAAACAAAACAAAAAACCTGAACCAAAAAACCAAACAAACCAAAAAACCCCTTTGCCTATAAAGTCAAAGCAGTGAAATGTGGTGTGTGTGTGTGTGTGTGTGTGTGTGTGTGTGTGTGTGTGTGTGTACTTACTCCGAATTACTTGAGATATTGTATAATAAGAAATACCAGAATACTGAAAGATTAAAGAAGAACTCATTGATATGGGACTCCACTTTGTGGACTGAAGTTAATCCCCATAATGAAAGTGAAGAGCCTATCAAAACTAGGAAAGGAGAATCCAATCCACCACCATCAAAAGCTCATGTTCTGGATATATGAGGCAACGAAGAAATGGGAAAAAAATGAGTTCCTGACCTTAAGTGACTCTGAAATAATAACCAGACATATGCCATGAGCTAGTGAAATAAATGGAAATACTTTTATTTCACATGTAGCTTTCAGTTGATGCTTTTTTCCTCCTTTCTTCCCTCCCTTTATTCCTCTGTTTACCCCTCTAGTGTGTTTATATCACAAACTTCAAGTGAAAATCACTTTTATTAAATGTTTAAGAACTGTACACTCCAATTGTATAAAACATCATAATCTCTGTCTAAAAATACATACACTGTTTTCTGGAAGAAAAAATACATTCTGTGCATAGGTTGCCTTTTGGAAGTGATTTCCTTTTCAAATCTCAACTACCTTTCTTGTCAAGATAGTGCAGAAATGTTGGAAAAGCATTAGCATACCAACAGATGCTCTGAATCAAATGACTTAATAGGCATAAACTTTTTTTCCCTCAAATAATTGCAAAGCTTTGGTTTAGCCTTTTACATACCTTGCATAGTTAATTACCTAGGTCTTAATGTTTACATGCAATGAGAGTATCTACAGCTATAAACTACATAATTTATAATTGATGTAAATGGGTGTTATTATGTCAATTAGGCAGCTGTGTCCTCCACCTCTTCATAAACAGCTTTGAGTGATAAACTGAGTTTGTAGATAGCTACCTTCTTCTCTTCGTAACAGATAAAAATAAATTACCTAGGTAGATCAGGCTGTCCAATTGTTCTCTGGTGAGGTGGATGGAAAATTCAGAACCTTTCTTGTAACCTGTTGACTGCAGCAAATGGTCAATTTCGTCACGCAGCACTGCCATAGCTTCTGGGTGCTGTAGAACATAATACATTGCCCAGAACATAGCTGGAGCAGTGTTTGCCACGGAGGCCCAGAGAAAGCCTAAATGATGTGCTGGGAGAAAATAAGTGAAAAGGAAGATTAATAGCGTTTATTACACTGATTAGATTTGCAGTGTGCTAATTAAAAGATGTTAGGACACAGACCCAGCCAAGGATCAGTGCATGCTAATGAGGACCAATAGGCTTCTGAAGTCTAATTTTCTGCTTAATGAGAATAGTTTAAAATGTAATGTGTGTGGGGTGTGTGTGTGTGTGTGTGTGTGTGTGTGTGTGTGTGTAGGTGGGGGATGAGATAAGAGGAATAAATGCAGCTTAGTTATACACTTTCTCATTATCACCATTAAGTATCTTGTTTTACCACCTCAGCAAAAAAAAAAAATCAATTATCACAGAGGGTTGCTTCAGAGTAAAACATTTTATCATTAGCCAATTAGAAAGAGCATAAAAATTTTCAAGGTCACCATTTTGTCTTTTTATTTCAAAGGTCTACTGTAAATTATTTTATTTTAGACAAGCAATCATTCAGAAGTTTCTTACCTCCTATTTCAATGTCCTCAGGTGAATAGTATTTCTCCAGGACATTTTGTCTCATTTGAAGAATTTCTGACCCTCCATGCATCTTAGATATGTTTTCTGATGCCAAACTTTGTATAAGTTTCTTTCGAATAGACTTGACATTTCCTAGAAACTCATGGGGTATGTCGGATAACAAATAAGAAAACTTGTCATTAAATTTTATAAAATCATCTCTTATTTCAGTAATTATTTTCTTGTTGCCATCATATCTTTTTCCATATATGGTTGAAAATGTGATCTCAAATATTAGTGATGTGCAGAATGAAAACATATGTGCTGTAGTCCAACTTGTGTTTTTTGATAGTTGGGGTTCAAAATCTTGCTTCAAATTCTGTATCATCTTTTCAATGAGCATGTCCAAAGACTTCCCTTGTAGAAACTGGTAGCAGAGATGGATGTCATAATTCATAGACTCATTGTATATCAACTGTTTGATTAAAAATACTTTTGATAAAACTCTACCAGTAAATACATGAAAATTTAATTGTTTGTAATTTTTCTCCACTATCTGGAACTGGAAAGGGTCCAAGATAAATGTTATATACTTTCCTGAAAAAAAAAAAAGCAGGAAGTTAGGCTAGTTAGTGGTAAAACAAAAGATACCAAGAATTTGAAATTTTTTTTTATCAAACTTGGAAAAATCTTAATAATTAACAAGTAGAAAAAGTTTAAAAGAATTCATCATTCAGAGATCAACTTTATGTTTCCTTTAGAAATGGATCATGGTCACGGATCACGGTCCTCCCGTTGTTCATCGATTTGCTCGAGCGGGCCCAGTAACGTCTCCATCATGAGACTTCTTGTTACTGTGTTTGGCATATCCAATATATCACGGGTAGCTTGCCAGGCTCTGCCGTGCGGACGAGATACTCTCGGTAGCTTGCCGGGCTCTCCGAGGGGGTGGAGGAATCGAACTCGGGTCAGCCATGTTGGCTGCGTGCAAGGCAAACGCCCTACAGCTGTGCGTTAGAAATGGAAAACAGAAAAATCTGACAAGCTTGAAATTAAATATTGTGAATCTTTAATAACTTTCAAAAGGCGTACACATTTAAAAAAATTATGCCTAAGGGTTGGAGCAATAGTACAGTGGGTAGGGCGTTTGCCTTGCACGCAGCCGACCCGGGTTCGATTCCCAGCATCCCATATGGGTCCCTGAGCGCCACTAGGAGTAATTCCTTGGTGCATGAGCCAGGAGTAATCCCCGAGCATTGCCAGATATGACCCACAAGGCAAAAAAAGAAAAAAAATTATGCCTAAATACTTGTATTACTCTTCAAATCATTTAAAATGATAGCTCCCAAATCACAGACTTATACTTCTAATATCCTCCTCCACCCAACACCCAATACAAATCAGTTTGCAGAAAAACATGCAAACAAATCAAACTGATAAGATGCCATTAGATTAGTATAATTCGGTCTAGTTTGAAGTTAGCAAGGGGGATCTTGAGGTCCCATTTGGTTTTTTCATATAGCATATAGTTGTTCAAATATGCGTTCTCCAAAATGATTGCACTTAAAGGATGCTGGTGAAAGAATAGATTCCTACTTACTTTTGCTCCATAAGGGTTGCAGGTAGTAGACCTGCAAGTCTATTTTATTATTTTATCTTAAAAAAACTGGGGAGGGGCGTGCATCCAAGTGGTGCTGAAAAGGCCTAGGGAACCTTTTAGCAATCTTGGCTAACCGTGCCGGCAGTTTAGTGTGAGGCCTGGAGGATTCAGTGCTTCTCTGCCTAGAGCCAGAGATTCCCTGGACCACCATGGTAAGTGTTTGGGGCCTCAGGAGCCACTCCTGGCAGTATCTGGGAGACTTTAGGGCGCACCCAGTGATGCTGGAAGACCATATTGTAGGAGGTTTGATCCCAAGTCTGTTTCTGACGTGGGTCTCAGTTCATTCTTACTAAAATGCACTTTGAGAAACACAGTCATATTTAAGTAGTATCACTCTCTAAACTTACAGGGGCCTTGCAGAGATTCTGCCTCCCGCCCCTTGCAGTCCTCCATTATTTGAAGGTAGAGCTGAGGAGGTCAGAGCGATAGTACAAGCGGTAGGGCAATTGCCTGGCATACAGCGGACCTGGGTTCAATCACTGGTACCCCATACAGTCCACCGAGACTGCCTGGATAAAGTCCTGAGAACTGCTGGGTGTGCCCGAAACAGCAACAAGAGTGCTTAAGAAAGTTAAAAGTGATTAAAAATCCAAATTATGCTTCTATTTTTAGTGGCAGATCCTGGACCAGAAATCACTCCCCATTCCCTGCTATGTTGCTTATGTGATGCTAATTTCTTCTCACTTGAGTAGTGTTTGAAGATTCCTTCTAAGTAGAAGCACTTTATAGATACCATTCAATAATGATCTTTAATGGGGCCTTTCTTTGTGAGAACACACGTGAAGTTTAAATGATTCTAGAAACTTTACTGCTTACTAATCATCTTTTAGAAAACAACAGACATCTAAATAAATAGGCATTCAAGTCTGTAGAGTGACCTGCAGGTTCCTCTTCACCTCGCTCATCCTGTGTGTACATGTATATGGGCGTGTGGCTATCTGTGACAACTTCTCTCTTGTTATTTATGGTAATTCTTTCAGCATCATGGAAATCAAATTCAGTTAGGTACAAGGTATGAGATACAGTTTTGAGATACAGTTTTGAATTATTTTCAACTTAATCCTAGACACAGGGTAAATGTGTTTTTGTTTTACAATTTTACAGCACAAATTAAGCTTTTAATATACATGAATATCCATGTGCTATTTTTCTTCTCTAAAAACAAATATCTTGGATTTTATTTGTCTGATTTCACCTTGATTTATTTAATGGCTTGGAAATGACGGGAAAGCTAGCAGTAGCTACTTATTCTTGTCATATCCCAAAGCCAAATCTTTAAACATTTTTTTCTTCCTTTTTTGCCCTAGGAGAGCAAAATGGACTTAACTGTATTTGGCATATTTTATGACACCTGCTTTACCATAAAAGCTTAATTAAATAAAATTACCAGCATCTGCCTGACAAATAAGTTAGAAAGGAGAGTTGGTTTTCATATTTTGCAAAAAATAAATAATTTACGGGAAAACTGTATTCTCACAGGTGGCGAATCTCATTTTTTTTACTGTCACTAAATAATTTGGCTAAATATCTTTAAGATTTAAAAAATTATTCACTAAAATACAAATTTTCTACAGACAGCAAAAGACAGGAAACAAAGCAAAACAAAGAGATAAAATTATTTTCAGGCATAGAGCACAAAGTACTGGCTAATGGGCTCACTGCAGTCAAAGTTGTGAGCACCTTAGAGCTATTGTTTACATGCAGGTCAGTACCTCGCCTCCCCTACCCCTCTCCTCCCTCCATATTTCTCTCACCTTCTCCTTCTCCTGCTCCCTCTATCTGGCATATGAAGAAACTGAGATTTATTTCAAATAAAATAAAGCCTGAATGTAGAAAACTGATTATGGTTACCAAACAACAATTGTTAAGTTACTTTTTCAAATAACTAGTTGTCACAAATAAGGTTCTTTTAAAAAGTTATTATTTGTCTATTCTCACCACTATTACTCATCATGTGTAAGTTCCAACCTTCAACATGTAGGCGTCCTTGCCACAGCAATTCAGCAAGAAAGTGATTATTAAAGAGATACAATTGAAAAAGAGGAAGTCAACTTATAAATATTAACAGATTACATGATACTAAACAGAAAACATCCTAAAACCAAAGAAAAAAATAAATTTATACAGTATGGTGGAAGGATACACAATCAATATGGAGATATACACTACATTTCTCTATGCAAATAATGAGGCCAAAGAGAGGGGGGAAATAAAGAAGTGCATTTCAAAGTTGTACCCCCCAAATCAAATACCTGGGAATCAGCTTAACAAAGGAAGTGGAAAGTCTTAAACAAAGACAATAATAAATCATAGAAGACACAGCACACGGAATCACTTCTTTACGGATTGAAAGGATTAACACAACCCTGAGTACTGTCAGATCCATGGAAGAGAACTTCTCAGATATATGGTCAGTTAATCTTTGACAAAGAAGTGAGGTAGATAAAGTAGAGCCTGGTAAACCTCTTCAAGTGGTGCTGGGAAAATTGGGAAGTCACATGCAAAAATATAAATTTGTATTCCTATCTCATACTATACAAAAGTTCCTTCAAAAGTTTGTTCAAAATGGATTAAAGACCTTGATATTACATGCAAATTCATATCAAGGAAAGTATTGGCAAAACTCTATATGATATCAACTTCAGAGGCATCTTCAGAGGCCTGATTTAAAACCATTAGTGAAAAAAAAAGCAGAATAAAGGGTACAACCAGATTAAAAAGTTTTTGCATTATGAAAGAATAATTACTAGAATAAAAAGATACCCTAATCAATGGGAGAAAAAAATATTTTTACCATACATATAAGAATGGACAAAAATCCAAGATTATTATAAAGTACTCACAGAACTCAACAGAAATAAAGCATCATCAAGAAATGGTGAAAGAAGCTGAACTGATATTTCCTTAAAGAAGACATTAGGATAATCAATAATTTTATGAAACAGTGCTCTTCATTACTATTATCAGAGAAAAGCAAATCAAAATAATGAAGTATCATTTACAGCAGTAAGAATGGCATATATTTAAAAAATCGGCATAAACTGTGGGGGAAAAAGGATGCAGAGCTAGTACAGGGACTAAGACTCTTGTCTTACATGATTGTGACCTGGGTTTGATCTCTGGCTCTGCTTTTGGTTCCTGAGCAATGCCAGCAGTGAGTACTGAGCACAGAGCCAGGAACACCACCACTGTGTATGACCTCCTAATATAAAACAAAGAAATAAGCAGAGCGAAAGAGAGAGAGAGAGAGAGAGAGAGAGAGAGAGAGAGAGAGAGAGAGAGAGAGAGATACTGGAAATAATAGTGCTGGTGGGGATGTTATAAAAAGGGAACCTGCATTCACTGTTGGTAGAAATGTCATCTAGTTAACTTCTATGAAACAGTATGGAGACTTCTAAAAATATTAAGTCTTGAGTATCCATCTTACTTAGAGATTTCACTTTTTGGTATCTACCAAAAAACATGAAAACATTAATTTGAAAAGCAGCTTGTACATCTATACTTGTTGAAGCACAGTTTACAACAATCAAGAGCTGGTAAGAATCCTGTGGTCAAGAACAAAGGAGTGGATAAAGAAATTGCAGCATACAGGGGCCAGAGGGATAGTAGAGTGGGTAGGGTTCTTGCTTTGAATGTAGCCGACCTGGACTTGACCCCTGTATCCCACCCTGTCCCCCGAGCACTGTCAGGGCTGATCTCTGACTGCTGAATCAGGAGTAAGCTCTGAGCACTGCTGGGTGTGGCTCAACCCCTCCTCCCACCAATATAGTATATGTACATAATAGAGTACTACTCAGCTTTAAGAAAAGATGAGCTCCTGCAATTTGCTGCAAGTTGGATGAAACTGGAGGGTATCATGCTGAGCAAACTCAGTCAGCAGGAGAACAAATACTGTAATCTCTGTCATATGTGGAGTATAAAGAAGTAACAGGATGAAAATAATGGCCAGTGGCAACAGATTCTTAGAACAGAATTGAGTTCATGAAGTGTGTGTGTGTGTGTGTGTGTGTGTGTGTGTGTGTGTGTGTGTGTTTGTGTGTGAGAGAGAGAGAAAGAGAGAGAGAGAGAGAGAGAGGAGACAAGAGTTAGTATTGAAGGGGTACTGATAACAGGTGGTGGGTGTGGGGTGGCAACATTTTATTTTGGGGCTTAGGGGCTATACCTTGCTGTACTCAGGAATTACTCCTGGCTCTGTGCTTAGGATTCATTTCCAGTGCTGCAGTGCTCAGAGGACTGTATACAGGACTGAGGATCAGCTGTGTGAAAAGCAAGCACCTTACCTGCTCTACTATCTCTCTAGTCTCACAGCCATGTATATTTTGTTTTTGGTTTTGTGCCACACCAAGGTTGTGCTCAGGGGTTTCTCCTGGTTTATGCTCAGGGTTGACTCCTGGCAATGCTCAAGGGAAAATGTGGGGTGCAGGGTATTGAACCTATTCTGGTTACATGCAAAGAGAGTGCCTTAGCTGCTGTACTAATTCTCCAGTCAAAACTGTATTCTTGAAAAATTAATAATAACAGTATTGTAAATCATGGTGCCTAACTAAACAAATTTGAAAAATAGAGATGATTTCTGATCACAAAAAATCTATTAACTAAAGCAATTTATTTGTGCTACAATTCTCACTCTTTTCCAGTTTCTTTTACTTTGTGATCTATATTTTCCACTTCTCATTCATATTTGAATTCTTGTCACTGTCAAGTATTGTGTTTTACCTACTATCTTCCTAATTAAGATGTGGATTGCTTTGAAAGTAGATATTTTGATTTTCTGGATTTCACTTTTCAAGTGGGTTTGGAAGTCCTAATAACCCTAGAGATATTAGCTGGCTTTCCAACTTTTAATCTTCAGTATAAACAATTTAAGCTAAGTTTTCCAAAATTAATATTAATTTAAACCATCTGTCCACCATCTGCTAATGTGAGATGCAAAACCAGAGTTTCTTTGTAATCCTTAGTCAGACAGTTAGGAAAACACATATACATTCATAAAATGGATTTAGAATTTTTAACAAAGAAAATCTTAAAAGTTATTCTGAAGGTCATGTATGCTTAGAGAAAAATTAACTTTTGTACCAGTGTGATATTTTTAAATGATTGACAAGTGTCAAATAGGCAAGTTGCCTATTTCACAAAGATCATAAGGTAGAAGCAATATCCATCCTTTGCCATGTTTTCAAAAGAGATAAGAATGCTGTGGGCAGATGATATGAAATATTGATTTAAAAATTTTTAGAGCTGTCATTTGTCTGAAAATATAAAGATCAAAATGGGGTTCAATTTTGACATATATATATGTGCTTATATACAAAATAAAATTGAGAAGTCCATTTGGAATGAGGTAAGTTTCTCAGTTATTTTCTTTGTCAAAATTTTAGGGGCCAGAGATATAGTACAATGGGTAGGGTGCTTGCCGTCCAAGTGGTTGACCTGGTCTTTAATACCCAGCATCCCATATGGTCCCCTGAGCACTGTCAGAACTTATTCCTGAGTGAAAAGTCAGGAGTAAACTCTGAGCATTGTCACTTGTGACCCCCAAACAAACAAACAATCGAATTATTTTTTTAAGACTAGGTCTAAGAAATACTCTAGCATTCCCATATTACCTACTCACACATGATCCTTCACTAGCTCAACATAGTTTTTGCTGTCAAAATTAATTATTTTAGGAAGGTGTAGCTACATGATGCAAACTGTGTCATTAATTATTTACAAAAAATTATAATGAGTTACACATATAACAAAATTACATAAGTAAGATTACATAAGTTAAAATTTGATGTTATTTTTTCAAAGATTTAATGCTGAATAGAGACATCCCTGGGGATTCAGAATACTAGTTAACTCTTTGACTAGAACTCTCCAATCAAAAAACATGAAGTAAGTGTGAGTTTAAAATCAAATCTCCATAGTTATAAGCTTGTAATCTCCTTGGCTAAAGGGCTTTTCAATGGAATTTCTTAAAGTTTTAAGTCACATATACTAGTTGAAAGAATGGAACATGAACCAACTTTTTATTTGATGAGGATGACCAGATTATAGTATTCCTCTTATTAGGAAGATTTCACTGGCTTTTGACAATGATGTACAGTGGTGCTTCGCTAGGATGACATCCAGGGAAAATGACTCTGCTGTACCACCACACAAAACCAATTAGAGAACTATTTTCTGTGACAGGTCACGAATTTATGTGGTTTCTCATGAAAAGATGTACCTTTTAATTTCTTTATTAAGATGACATCCATGTCCCTTGAGGCTTTTGGGGATGACAATCATTTGCTCATCATAAAAGAACATACACTCAGTAGTCACATTATGGGACAAGGGTGGAAGATTCTGTTGCTCATTTTGTATTTCCCATATGAGCTATATTGAAAACTGATCATTAGAACCATAATATTAACAGGACTTCCTTACAGGAATTTATTTAAACTAAAGGGAAGTATTAGTACATATTCAACTATAGCTGTCTAGTATTGCAGTTAAATATATAACTCACCACTAGAAATTAAAAACTCCTGTGGCTGGAGTCATAGTAGAGTGGGCAGGGGATTTCCTTGCACATGGCTGACCTGGGTCCAATTCCTAATATTTCATTTTGTCCTCTGAGCCCAGCCAGGAGTGATCCCTGAGTGCAGAGCCAGGAATAAGCCCTGATCACTGCTGGATGTGAATCAAAACAAAACAGAGCTATACAAATATTTTGATATCTCACATAAATTATTTAAAATGCATTAAAAACAAAAATGGCAATTTTAATAGTTTATTGTATCTAACCACTTGAACATAAGATTCAAAATTTTAAAATAGGATTAAAAATTTTAAAATAAGTGACTTTTATTTATTAATTATTCTTGGTTTTGGGATTACACCTGGGGGTACTCAGGGATTACTCCTGGCTCTGCATTCAAGAATTACTCGTGGCAGTGGTTGGGGGACCAGATGGGATGCTGGGTATTGAACCCAGGTCAGGAATTCAACCCAGGTCAGCACCAGGTAGGGAAAACCACCTACACACTGTATTATCACTCTGGCCTCCAAATTTTAAAAGAATAAGCAAACAGATAGGATAGACAGGACCGATAGACAGTTCTGATATGTGTATGGTATTTACAGAGCTTGTGCTTACCAGCAATGAGAAGAGTGAAAATGTCACCATGTTGACTTTGAAGAGTTTTAAAGGAACCAATGGGATCTTTCTGTATATTCAGAGCCTGTCCAAGGTAAGGAATCCAGCCTTTAATCAAGGGAGGTTCACCAGGTCTCCTATTAGAAAAAAAAAGAGACAAAAAGATCATTCTTGTTTTGATACAGATGAGACAGTAATTCAGCCTAGAAAGTAGGTTGTTAAATTCCAGCTTTTTTCCCAATTATTTAATTCAAAGACTATAGAACAACAGACATATGCTTATTGAGCTTTGTCCAGTATGTACAGCTCTGGTATAGACAGTTGAATTCACTTCTTTTGGTTTGTTTTAAAATTTCATGTTTGTTATATCCTGTGGGCCCCAAAACACCCGGCAGAAACACCATCTGTACCCCCATGTTCAATGCAGCACTATTCACCATATACCCAGAATATGGAAACAACCTGAGTGCCCAAGAACAGATGAATGGATAAAGGAACTACGGCACATCTACACAATGGAATATTATGCAGCTGTCAGGAAAAATGAAGTCATGAAATTTGCCTATATATGGACATCATGGAGACTATCATGCTGAGTGAAATGAGTTAGAAGGAAAGGGACAGATATAGAATGACTGCATTCATTTGTGGCATATAAAAATATATAGTAGAATAATAATATCCATGGCCAATGTAAACAGGGGTTAGGTGGATTGGTCAATTAGGTTGGAACTAATCACAGGTGTGTGGGGGGCAGAAGGTAGGTAAGATAGAGAAGTGACTGCTATGACAATAATAGCTGGGGATGATCACTCTGGACAAGATCTGAGAGTTAGAAGTAGGTAAAGGGATATTCTTGATAATCTTTAAGTATCGATACTGCAAACCACAATGTGTGTGAGTGTGTGTGGGGGGGGGTGAGAGAGGGAGAGAGAGAAGAAAAGAGCTTGCCAAAGAGACAGGTGGGGGTGGGGGGTGGAAGTGGGGGGTGATGGGAGGGAACCTGGGGACACTGGTGCTGCGAAATGTACACTGGTGGAGGGATGTTGGATGTTGGAATACTGTATGGTTGAAATTAAATCATGAACAGCTTTGTAATGCTCTAAAAAATTTTCATGCTTGTATAACGAAATTGTGTCTTTTAAGGTTCAAAGGCGGCCTGAAATAACAGAAATATAGGAAGCAGTTTGTGTATGAGAGCTCTTGCTGCATTCCAGATTTTAGAAAGATTTCAAGTAATTTAGTTACCAAAGTCAAGCTCACTGTTATCAGATGTCAGTTAGACTGGAATTACATAATTAGAATTAATTAATATCTTAAATTAATATCTTAATATCTTAAAATAATTAATATCTAAAATTATATTAATTAATATCTTAAAAAATCTTTAATGCTGAGAGTAACTGAAACCTAAATATTTAACTGAAGGTACAGTACAGGAGTTAAGACATTTGTCTTGTGCACAAATGACCCTGGCTTGATTCCCTGCACCACACAGAGTCCCCCCAATGTTGCCTGAGTGCTCCCTGAGCACAAAGCCTGGAGTCAGCCCTGAGCACTGCTGAATGTGGTCAAAAAGTAAAAATGAAAATAAAACAAGTATGAAACAGAAAACTGAACCAAAACAGACCTCTAATATTATTTCTAGAAAGTACATTTTGATACCATTGTTTCCATGAAGTACATTTTGATACAAGATTTTATTTTTTCGTTTTGGTTTTCAGGCTATACCCAGCTAGCACAGCAAGTAGGGTGTTTCCTCGCACGCGGCCGACTAGGTCGACCCAAGTTCAATTCCTCCGCCCCTCTCGGAGAGTCCGGCAAGCTACCGAGAGTATCTCGCCCACACGGCAGAGCCTGGCAAGCTACCCATGATGTATTCAATATGCCAAATACAGTAAAAACAGGTCTCACAATGTTACTGGGCCTGCTTGAGCAAATCGATGAACAACGGGAGGACAGTGACAGTGACAGTGACCCAGCTGTGCTCAGGGTTTATTTCTGGCTCTGCGCTCTGGTATCACTCTTGGCAAGGCTCTGGGACAATATGTAGTGCTGGGCATGGAACCCAGGCTGTCCGTGTGTGAGCCATACGCCCTACCCACTGGACTATCTCTCCAGTCCTCATTTTGATACTACATTTTGTGTTTTTATTCAAATACAAATGAATAGGAATGTTTGTAAAATTTTATAAGAAAACAAAAACTGTGTGAAGCATGTAAAATGAAACAAAGACAAATTGTATTAAAGAGTAAGTTTTTTTCCTTTTTAAAATTCTATAATACCAGCAAAGCTGTACTTTAAAATTTCTTCCTATTCATTTATTTGGTAAACTCAATCTGATTAAAGTAAAAAAAAATTATCCTAGAAGGGATTTAAAAAAATATTCAAAAGAACTCTGATGATTCCCTGGCCCATCTGTGAATATACTAAATGCAATGCAGCCCATTTTGATTAATCACAAGATATTACTAGCTTAGATCCAGTCAAAGATCATGATTATGATCATACTCCCATGGATGTTTGTGTAGCCAGATTAACCCTATCAGAAGGTTTTATTCCCCCACAACACTCCATGATAAAATTAAATTATATATATATATATACATATATATATATATATATATAACCAAAAAATCTCTAAGGGGAAAAATTTAAGCAAAACAAAATTAATCTGAGAAGTGATAGAAATAGAGAAAATAGGTGTCAAGATTATTTTCCCTTTTTAGGACATATTTATCTTCATCTTAATTTACAAAATATGTGCTGCTGTTTAAATACACATAGTTTAAAACGACATAAACACTACAGAGAATTGTGGATATAATACTTTAGCTTTGCTCTCATGAGATTTTCTGGAATATAATCTTCCGTATTCTAAATCTAAAGGCTAAGCAGGAGGTCACCTAACACATGGTAGTACCATGGGGCCTGAGACAGAAGTTTCCACTGAGCACATGCTACAAATCAAGGGTTCTTCTAAAACCAGCAAGTTTAAGAAGGTTCTTTCAGTACATTGATTCTCTTCATTGGTCTACTTATACTATTTTACTTAATGTTACTTGAATGCTGCATTGTGGTAAAGGTTTTGAAATTTTTGTCATATTCTAATCTAATGCAGCTTTCTCCTACCTCTATGCCTGTCATTTGGTCAAAATGTGTCTTATTCACAGATTTCTGTGGGGGAAAAGAGTGGAGTTCAGAAATCCAGGGGAATATTAATACTCAGAGCTGGAGAAACACATTAGAAAGCCATTTTATTGTTACAAAGATTAGCGGTCATCATTTCTTACAGCTGTGTTCATTCTGGCATGAATAAGCCTAAAAGTATTTAACCATCTTGTCACAACTATGAATAGTTTCAGGAAAAAATATAGTGCTATTTCAACTGATGAACCATCAACGATATATTACAGAAATCTATCTTCATCATTATATTTAGGGAGGAAAGAAATCACCATAATGCTACAAAAAAAAACACCACCAACAAAAACCTTGCCCACTGCCCATAGCTGATTCAGAAGACAGAAGGTTTATTGAGAATAATTAAATTCCAAAGTAGAAATGACTCCTGAAGCAGCTGATGTTATGTAACAAAAACCAAACCAAACCAGAGAAAAAACAATAGTCTTTTTTTTAAGCACACAATCTGCAAAATTTTATTTACTTATTTATTTATTTTTTTAGATTTCACTAGGCTTTTTACATTTTTAAAAAAATTTTATTAGTGAAACACCATGAGATACAGTTGTAAACTTAGAAATTTTTGTGCTTGGGGTTCAGTTATACAATGATCAAAAACAATAGTATTTACCCTCTTTTAAATCTCATACTAACAATATGCATATCCTCAAATATCCTCTTCACTATTTATGAAACTACAAGGACACACTTCAGAAACTACCCAGTTAGAGCTTACATAAGTTCTCAAAAATTAGACCCAAGGTCTATGCACAAGCTGTTCTACCATCATTTTAATCTGGAAGGCTGTGCAAAACATCAGGCACAGTCCAAATTGATCTGGAAGCAAATAGTCATAAGTACTTCAAATATATAAAATGTCTATAAAATTTGAAAGACAAATTTAAGGTATTTTCCTTCAGTCAAAAATAAGCACATACTATAAGAGAGAACCAACACTGAACCTATGGTTTCTAATATTTGAAGTTCATCTTTATGTTATACCTTTAGTCAAATAAAATTATATATAAAAATGAAAACATAAAACCAATGTGTCCATCACAATGGTTTACATAAGTCCTTAAAGTCTATCACTTTTCCCAATAATCAATACTTGCCAACGTGTTTTATTCTTTCCCATTTATCCTGTGACATTCTAGGAGCTGAATCAATCCTATCACCTATCTCCTATGTGAGCAACTTGTACACATATATCTTTATTTATTTAAGCAAAATAAAGTATGTGTTGATTAAAAGTTTTTAATACTTAAAATATTGCTCCTAATTAAAATTGTATTTTTGTATGTGGTTAAAATTTTGAAAACTATACAACTGATGTGCATTGTGGAATATGACAATAATGACCTTTTGATGCTATTATTAAGGAAATTTTTTTCTTTTTTTTTAAATTTTTATTAGTGAAACACCATGAGGTACAGTTGTAGACTTAAAAATTTTTGTGCTTGGGTTTTGATTATACAATGATCAAATGCCCATCCCTCCACTAGTGCCCATTTTCCACCACCATGTATCCCAGTATCCCTCCCACCCCCATTCCCCCCATTCCCCCTCCCCCCACCGCCTCTGTGGCAGGGCGTTCCCTTTTGTTCTCTTTCTCCTTTTGGGTGTTGTGGTCTGCAAAAGAGGCATTGAGTGGCAATCATGTTTGGTCCATAGTCCACTTTCAACATGTATCTCCCATCCTGGGAGGATCCTCCAAACACCCTTTATTTGGTGCTCCCTTCTCTATCTGAGCTGCCCTTTCCCCTAGAATACCCGGCTGGCCTCTAAGCCATGGAGTAATCCTCCTGGTGCTGATCTCAGCTATTCTTGGGTATTAATCTCATACTTTGTTACTTTATATCCCCCAGATGAATGCAATATTTCTATGTCTATCCCTCTCTTTCTGACTCATTTCGCTTAGCATGATACTTTCCATATTGTACCACTTGTATGT